GAAGAACGTTGTACTGGAGGATTTCCTGGATAAGTGTTGTTGAGTTAATGTGGAAGAACGTTGTACTGGAGGATTACCTGGATAACTGATGTTGAGTTAATGTGGAAGAACGTTGTACTGGAGGATTTCCTGGATAACTGTTGTTGAGTTAATGTGGAAGAACGTTGTACTGGAGGATTTCCTGGATAACTGTTGTTGAGTTAATGTGGAAGAACGTTGTGCTGGAGAATTTCCCGACAACGGTTTGGTTTCATTATTAATTTATTTAAGACGTATTACTCACCCTTTTCCTGAAATAAGAAGGAATTCCTACAGACAGTCGGACAACCATTTTCATGGCATCATGCCATTGGCTGAAACCTGTTTCACCTGGAAGAGGTTCCAAACTGAACCTGATTCTGGTGTCAATTCCTACGAAGAAAACAGATTATTTATCAGATCGGTGAATGTGAAGAGTTAAGTGTTTTTCATAAGGATATTTACTTAAAAAATCAATTTTCATCCCTTCATTCATGTGATGAGATACTCTCACGAACACTTTACGGTAACATATGCAAATAATGTTTAATTTGAATGAACTTCAGTGCCAAATATGACCGCAACCCTTACTTCACAAATTTTGGAGTCTTGGTTGTGCTATAAGAGTCACTGTCAAATCCCACTAATCGGTTAGACAAGATTAGTCCAAAAGGTGGTTAGTTGTGGGTGCTAATGTTGCCTATCAGTTCTAAGTAGGCACGGCTGTGAGAAGATTTATTGATCTTTGTGTAAATTTGAACAAAAATTATGAACGAAACAAATTTTACTTAAACTCGATAGTTAATGTACACGTTTCACAGGCACACGTACAGAAAACTTGATAGCTAAAGTACACGTTACACAGGTACCCATACAGAAAACTTGATAGTTAAAGTACACGTTACACAGGTACCTGTACAGAAAACTTGATAGCTAAAGTACACGTTACACAGGTACCCGTACAGAAAACTTGATAGTTAAAGTACACGTTACACAGGTACCCATACAGAAAACTTGATAGTTAAAGTACACGTTACACAGGTACCCTGTACAGAAAACTTGATAGTTAAAGTACACTTACACAGGTACCTGTACAGAAAACTTGATAGTTAAAGTACACATTACACAGGTACCTGTGCAGAAACTTGATAGTTAAGTACACGTTACACAGGTACCTGTACAGAAACTTGATAGTTAAAGTACACGTTACACAGATACCCGTACAGAAACTTGATAGTTAAGTACACGTTACACAGGTACCCATACAGAAACTTGATAGTTAAGTACACGTTACACAGATACCTGTACAGTAAACTT